AATTCGACCTCGGGCCCGCTTGGTCAAAACTCAAGGTTCGAACCAAAACCCGATTACCCATTCACCCACGAGCCCAAATATGTAATTAGTTTCGGAATCCGAGCCACTCGAACCCAGAGCTAGCTGGTTCTCCCCGAAATGCGTTGAGGCGCAGCAGTTGACTGGACATCTAGGGGTAAAGCACTGTTTTGGTGCGGGCCGCCCCAAATCGAGGTCTAAATTTCCAAATTTGTAAAATTCCCAATTCTCCCAAAATCCCTAATTTCTACCCTTAAAGAACAAGATTTAGGCCTAGAAATCTAATGGGTGTTGATGGAAATTGAAAGAATTGAGTTTAAGAACACAAACCTATGATTTGGTATTGAAATCCCTCTTCAAAAATCGCCCAAGGTCGAGTTTTAATGGAAGAAATATAAAATTTTGAGCAAATCCCGACTTAGGTTCTGTTTTAAAATCACTGGACAGGTCTTCTTCGCGTTCGCGAGAAGCTTGTCGCGTTTGCGAAGTAGCGGTCCTATTAACCTTCGCGTTCGCGAGACACAATACACGTCCGCGAAGGTATATCCCCTAACCTTTGCGTTCGCGAGCCGCTTGCCGCATTCGTGTAGTGTAGCATTCCCCTCCCCCAGTCCCCATTCTTCGCATTCGCGATAGCCTGGTCGCGTTCGCGAAGGGTAATGCCCCCAACGCTTCGAGTTTGCATAGAAGGATTTCTCCTTCAGACCAACCTACTCTACGCGTTCGCGAGAGATCCTTCGCGAGTGAGAAGAAGGACACATCTGTGCACCCGCAACAGCAAAACAGCAGAAATTTCTAAGTCCAAAACACCCCTGGCCTATCCGAAACTCACCCGAGCCCTCAGGGCTCTAAATCAAACATGCACACAAGTCTAAAAATATCATACGGACTTTCTCGTGCGATCAAATCGACGGTGATAACATCTTAAACAACGATTTAGCATCAAAATCAATGGAATTATCAAGAACACTTAAAGTTCTATTTTCACAATCGAGGGTCTGAATCACGTCATCTAAACTCCATTTCTTACCAAATTTGACAAGCATAACTTAAATACCATATTACACCTGTACCGGGCTCCGGAACTAAAAAACGGACCCGATACCAACAAGATCAAGTATTATTAAATTTCTAAAAACCATTATGTTTTCAGTTTAACAATTTTCTTCAAAAATTTATTTCTCGGACTAGGGACCTCGGAATTCAATTCCCACACTCTTCTTTGAGGCAGATTTTCCTCTAGCCAGTTGCCACTGTGAATCAGTTTCCTGCTGGGGCAATTGCTCATTTATTACAATCTCCAGTTACTCAAGAAACCTCCCTTGAGCATCAATTTTGTCCACTGCAGGGTCAAGAGCTTTTCACTACTCTCCATTCTTGTTTTTGTTTCAAGTTTATGCTCCTCTGGCGAGCACCTTCTTGCTTCTGCTTATTTTGGTCTCTGCAGGAGTGGCCTAGCTAACAACATGTTTGGCAATATTAAGGCTTCCAATCAAACTGCATCATCTGCTCAACCACCTTGTCTATGGGATCATGTAGCTTAATTTTCTCAGGTAAAGTCCTGGTGATATCCATTTCGATCAGTATTCTAGCATATGAGATTCTATTAGCAATTGTGATTCAAGCATCAGCATACAAAGGATTGCCTAAACCACTTTCAATTTTGCTCAGAGCCTGCTTGCTCCAGTAATTCAAAGACAAGTTAGGAAGTTTGACCCATAGAGGAATGGTTTCTAGAATTTCTTCATTGAAATCAAAGGTTGCCGTACATGGCTAATGATGATAGGCCTACAATTGATGGTGTATGGTCCATTCAACAAGACATCTTCATACTCTTCATTACTATTCAATAGTATCACAAAATAACCATCGTTATGAAAGAGTACCGTTGGTTTTTGACACTACTCCACTGGCTAGCGATGAAACATTCAATTGGCCCAATGGTTGGAGTGTTTCCCACCACATACAAAATCATTGCTCGATTCCATTTCTGATTTTCATCCTTGAGATCTTCCTCCAGTAATTGTACTACAACTTCACAATCTTGCATCATCAGAGGAATATAAGACAAGTTCATTCCCTTTGCAGCTAGTTTGTTCTCCTGGAAAAGCCCTGCCGAGGATCTACCCCCATCACCAGTTTGCTCAGCTGCTTTATCTTGTATATTCTTCCGATTGTTGGTCTCAGTAGGTGGTTGCTCCTTTGCTGGGCTTGCATGTACTGTTCCATTGGCTTGTGACTTACTAGTGCTCGCATCACAAATTATGATCGGCAATATAGTTGATTCCTTAGCACCAGATCTCACGGGTGTTGCCAATTTAGCCCTAGAACTGCTCAAATTTGGCCAATTTGGGTCACTATCACTCTCCTCTTCCTCTACTTGCAATATCTCTTCTGCTTTTACCGTCTGTTTTCCTTGTTCTCGCATGATGATATCCATGAGTTTTCTTTCTACTACTGGTGTTTTGCTGGTGTTTCTCTTCGCTCTTCCTCTTCCCTCCATTCCGGCGAAGGCGCAGGTTAGCTAGGTCACCTAACGTGTGCTAAGAGAGAAAAGTTACTTCATATAAGCTTTTAATTGTCTACAATTCAAGGTATTAGAATTGGATTACTTCAATACTACAATTGGTAAAAAAAATGCTTCTAATTAAGTGGGAATTATGAAAATTAAGCAACTCTCTTATCATCCCCTTCATTTAATTTACAGGGATATGATGTTGTGATTCTTTAATTTATATACATGTATTTCAACCAAAGTTTAATTTTCTTGTTGCAGAATCATAGACGTTATACTGTAGCAGCTTGCAGACATTCTAATGGCTATCATTGTCTAGTTCCTATCCATTAATCAATATGCTCTTTATCTTTTTTTGAGTGTCATCCATCAATAATAAAAACAAGAAGTACGACAAATTCCGTAAGTAAAATATTTTTATATTTTATATAGCATCAAGGATATATGTATAGTGTTTTAATCCGTATACTCTACCTTTCTTTGTGATTTTAATTTTTTTTCTCACGCATAGAGCTATATAATGATCTGTCAATCAATATTCATGACTTTCAATCAACTTTTCTGCTAAATTTTTAAAGGAAATTATATTTTGTAGATTTTAAAAAGTTTGAGGAAGAAAAGCAAATAATTTAGTCAACTTTTGGTGAAAACTAAACGTTAACTAATATCAATAACTGAAAGGGAGAGAGAGCGAGAGCGATCTGGATATGGCCTACATAAAAATAATGGATTTAAGTTACATACATTAACAAAATACCAATTATCAAGAGATTTATTTATAATTAGTTAAAAAGCAATCAGATTATGTAAATATAATTTTATTATTTTATTAATGAAGAATTAACCCAAATAGCCGCTTACCCAATCCCTTAATTCCTTAAATTAAAAATAGCCAGTGGAGGTATAATATATGTATAATTTATATATTATATGTGATTAGTTATGTATAATCGATGTATTTGCCTAGAAAAAATAAACAATAAATATACGGAGCTTTTCTTTTTAGTAGACCGCACGTGGTACAAATCAGGACTAATTGGGCCCAGTTCAAGTAATGAACGGATGATGTGCACATATAACCATTAATAACTCCTGTCTTTACTTTTAAGCCACTGTTTTAAATGTCTTTAGTCTTTAGCCAATGCTTTAATAAAGTTTTACCCGCTCGGACGAAAATACCCTTCTGTTATAAGGATTTGGCTTATACCTATGCTCCTTATTAACGATCAGCAGCAGCAGCTCAAACGTACGTAAGTAACTTGCAGAGACTATGATTGTCCAAAATTGCAGAAGCTTCTCTTCCGATTTCAAACTAGAAAATTCAACTTTCTCGTCCAAAATTCACCATAAAATTACAGTATGTTCTAATGTTTGATATATATCTTTATGCTTTTGTGTGTTTGTGTGGACTTTTATTTCGTTACTAGGAATTTGATGCTAGGAATTTGACATTTTTTTTGCTTTTCTAGATTAATAACGTTAAGGACATCACGTCCTTAACTCTGTGATTATTCTATAAATATTGAGGACATAATGTTAAGGATTTGGTGTCCTTAACATGACTGTTGTTCTGAATATTAAGGACATAGTGTCCTGTTTTTGCAAATTGTATTGAAAAAGTTAAGGACACGATGTCGTTAACTTTTTTGCTGTTGTTCTGATATTAAGGACATAGTGTCCTGTTTTTGCAAATTGTATTGAAAAAGTTAAGGACACGATGTCCTTAAATTTTTTGCTGTTGTTCTGAATATTACGGACATAGTGTCCTGTTTTTGCATTTGAAAAAGTTAAGGACACAATGTCCTTACCTTTTTTGCTGTTGTTCTGAATATTAAGGACATAGTGTCCTATTTTTGCAAATTGTATTGAAAAAGTTAAGGACACGATGTCCTTAACTTTTTTGCTGTTGTTCTGAATATTAAGGACATAGAGTACCTTAACTTCATGACTGTTCTAAATATTAGGGACATAGTGTCCTATGTTTTGCAAGTTGTATTGATAAAGTTTAGGAAATCGTATCCTTAACTTCACGATTGTTGTATAAATATGTCCTGAATTTCCCATTTTCTTGACTTGCAGGATGGAAACAATATGTATTATAGTTGCTTTTAATGGTAGATGGACTACATACTATCAGTATCTTGATCATCAAACAAAGCTTGTTCTAGTACCTGAGGCAATTTGATTTGTAGATTTCATTAAACAGGTCTTTGAAGTTATTGAATTGGATAGAGACAAATTTGAAGCAATGATATGGTTTGATATCAACCTGGGAACAAGCAAGGGAATGCTTGTATCCAAAGATTTAGATCTTCATACATGTATATAGTTACTAAAAATTCATTCACTCTTCAAGGGCTGTCGTTTCATTGTTGATGTTTCAGAAAGAGTTTTTGGTTCTACAAGCACCTTTGAACATGTCAATAGAGAAACTCAACATGAAAATCAAGACAAATGCCAATAGATAATGGATATAGATGTGGATCAAGCTCAACCAATAACTGAAGAGGTGCTTCAAATATTTGATTCTATTCAAGTGGAAGGACAAAGCATTATAGAGATTGACAACGAACAAGCTTTGGGTATTCAAGTTTTAGAGAGTACACCGGCAATAGAAGAAGTTGCTGAAAAAACCTCTACTCAACTAACAAGACGAAGCTCAAATTCGAAACAAAAAGAATCCCCAACTACGATATTAAGAGAAAATGCTTCGTTGGATGAAATAAAAGCGGGATCAATATTTGACAAAAAGAAGAGTATAATTAACTATTTTTCAAATATAGCAATTAAAGGAAATTTTGAATTCAAGATTGTTAGATCAAGCTCAACAAGATATTTGTTGAAATGCAATGATGATAGGTGTGGGTGGTGTGTGCGTGCTTTCAGAATTAAAGATTCAACACTGTTCAAGATTGTAAAGATTGAGAAAAATCATGACTGCTCAGTTAACACTATGAAAGATGATCAAAGGCATGCAACTTCAAAGTTGATTCGTGGTTACATTATTGACAATCTTCGAGACCCAAGGTTTGAAGTTACACCTACCTTTGTCATGGCAGAAATGCAAAAATTGAATGAACGAGACATTGGTTATCACAAGGCGTGGCATGCTATTCAACGTGCTTCAACTTTAATAAGAGGAACTCCTGAAAAGAATTATAAATTATTGTCTTCATACTTGTATATGATGAAAAGTAAAAACCTGGGAACATATACTAACATAAAGATAGACGACAACAACAGGTAAACAATCAAAAAGAGTTTATTAGTCCGTTTTATAAACTTTAGGACATGTGTCCTTAACTTTGATATGTGCAGTGAGAAAGATAAGGACATGGTGTCCTTAATTTCTGTTCCTGTAACTCTAAGTTAAGGACTACTTGTCCTTAATTTATGTGCTTTTAACTCTAAGTTAAAGACTACCTGTCCTTAATTTGTGAGCTTGTACCTTGAACTTTAGGACTACATGTCCTTAACTTTTGGATTTGAAACTCTATGTTCAGGACTACATGTCCTTATTTTTTGAACTTGTAACTCTAAGTTCAAGACTATATGTCCTTAATTTCTGTGCTTGTAACTCTAAGTCCAGGACTGCCTGTCCTTAACTTTCTAACTTGTAACTCTAAGTTAAGGACTACCTGTCCTTAATTTCTATGCTTGTAACTCTAAGTTCAGGACTTCCAGTCCTTAACTTTTTAACTTTTAACTCTAAGTTCAGGACTACATGTCCTTAACTTTTGAACTTGTAACTCTAAGTTAAGGACTACCTGTCCTTAATTTGGTGTCCTGTATTTTTAACCTTCTATTATACTGTATTTTCAGGTTTTTTTATATGTTTTATGCATATGGATCATCAATAGCTGGTTGGAATCATTGCAGACCAGTGATTGCTGTTGATGCAACTTTTTTGAAGTCAAAATTTCTAGGTGTTTTAATGATTTCAGTTTCAAAGGATGCAAATAACAAAATATTCCCACTAGCATTTGGAATCGCAGAATCTGAAAATAACAATTCGTATGAGTGGTACTTTAGTGAGCTTCGCAATGCAATTGGGAGCCGTGACAATTTAATTTTTTTATCAGACATGCATCAATCTATTGCGCATGGCATTGCAAAGGTATATCCTGAAAGCCACCATGGGATTTGTATCTATTATTTGGAACAGAACCTAAAGCGAAGGAAAGTGAAAAGTGAGGTCATAAAACTTTTTCAAAGTGCTGCAAGAGTATACAGGCACAAAGAATTTGATCTATACATGTCAGATAAAGCAAAAGTTGATAAGAAGACTTTTGACTACTTGATGGAAGAACCGCTGGAAAGGTGGGCACGTTCTTGTAGTCCACGACAAAGATATGACATGCTCACAACAAACATAGTTGAGTCAATGAATTCTGTGCTATTAGAAGCAAGGGAGCTGCCTATATTAAGAATGATGGATTTCATCCAAGTGAAGCTACAACGTTGGTTTTATGAAAGAAGAAATGAAGCAGAAGGAACTTTTTATGACGTTTCTTGTTGGGTAGAAGAGGAATTGAAGAAAAAGATAGATTTATCTTTTACTTTAATGTTAGTATTATGTTCTTTGTTTAGCTTATTATTTTAATGATAATTTAACATTGTTATAAATAGAATTCTATTTATGGTGAATGTCCATATTTAGAGAGATTCTAGGGTTTATTACTTGGTGGCTAAGTCAACCTCTCCCTATAAATAGAGGGTTCTATTCCATTGTAATTCATCCCAAATCAATAAGAATTCTCTCTCTACTTTTCTCTGCAATATTGTTCTTATTCTTTTATTATTTTATAACACGTTATTAGCACGAGACTCTACCGTCTCAAGAAGATTAAGAAACATGTTTTATGTTTTCAATATCCAGTTGCGCCTATGCTGAAAGGTTGTGTATGTAAGTCAGTAGTGTTCGTTGTCTTCACTTACCTCTTAGAGAAGAATTAGCAAACAATTGATCAAGACTTAGAAGACTTTTCAACTGTGAATCAAGATTAGAAAACGTGCAACAGTCTTTATTCAATGGATCAAACAAATGTCGATATCTCTCCAGGTAAACTTGGATCAAAGTTCAATTGTAAAAATATTTGTTTAATTGATTCATGTAGGACACATACAATATTCAAAGAGAAGAAATATTTCTCTCATTTAAGTATGTGTAAGGCAGATGCTACTACAATTTCTGGTAGTAGTAATTTAATTGAAGGCTCTGGAAGAGCTACTATAACTCTGCCTAAGGGAACAATACTTATCATAGAGAATGCAATGTTCTCCTCCAAGTCCAAGAGGAACTTGTTGAGTTTTAAAGATATCCGTTGAAATGGATATCATATTGAGACAATAGATGAGAATAATCTTGAATATCTCATCATTACCAAAAATGTCTCTGGCCAGAAAAGGGCTATTGAGAAGTTTCCATCTTTGTCTTGTGGCCTGTATTGGACAAGAATTAGTGCAATTGAGGCACATTCTATTGTAAACCAAAAGGTTACCGATTCCAATACTTTTGTACTTTGGCATGATCGATTGGGACACCCTGGATCAATTATGATGAGACGAATTATAGAAAACTCAAATGGGCATCCATTAAAGAATTTAAAGATTCTTTTAAATGATGAATTTTCTTGCACTTCTTGTTATCAAGGCAAGTTATTTATTAGACCATCACCAACAAATGTTGGAATTGAGTCCCCTGCGTTTTTGGAACGTATACAAGGGGACATTTGTGGACCTATTCACCCACCTAGTGGGTCGTTTAGATATTTTATGGTCTTAATAGACGCATCTTCTAGATGGTCCCATGTGTGCCTATTTCATCTCGCAACCTCGCGTTTGCAAAATTAATGGCACAAATAATTCGATTACGGGCACAATTTCCCGATAATCCAATTAAGTCTATTAGACTCGATAATGCTGCTGAGTTTTCATCCCAAGCATTTAATGATTATTGCTTATCAATTGGGATAAAAGTGGAACATCCTGTAGCTCATGTTCACACTCAAAATGGCCTTGCGGAGTCTTTAATTAAACGTCTGCAATTGATAGCAAGACCGTAACTCATGAAAACGAGGTTACCCACTTCTGATTGGAGTCACGCCATTTTGCATGCAGCAATGCTAGTTCGTCTCAGGCCGACAAATTATCATAAATATTCCCCGTTGCAATTAGTTTTGGGTCATGAACCTAATATATCCCATTTAAGAATTTTTGGATGCGCGGTATATGTGCCTGTAGCACCACCACATCGCACAAAAGGGGTCCACAAAGAAGGTTAGGAATACCTGTTGGTTTTGAATCGCCCTCCATTATTCGCTACCTCGAAACATTGACGGGGGATTTGTTAACTGCACGATTTGCAGATTGTCGATTCGATGAGACACTCTTCCCAAAATTAGGGGGAGAAGTTGGTGAAACCAAACGGGAAATTTTGTGGAAAAATCCATCATTATTCATTTGCAGAGAATAGCAAATCAAATGCTAGATGAATTTACGGATATGAAAAGGATAACAAAATCACATATCCCTGTGGAGAATGTTCCAATCCGTATTGATGTCCCTATTGGACAATCTTCTAGTGTCATAGCTAATGAGTCAAAAGCACGCGTTAAACGTGGCAGACCATTAGGTTCCAAAGATCGAAATTCTAGAAAAAGGAAAATAAATGATCAAAATGACACTACGAAAGAATCTCATGAAGAAATTCACAATTTAATAAATTCTGAGATTCATGAGGAATCCACTGAGCCCGAGACTCAAGAAAATAAGGAACTATCAATAAATCCAATCGATATTGAGACAAATTTGAATCGAGTGGATATAGTGGTGGATTATGTCTTTGCATATAATGTTGCATCTAGCATTATGCAAGAAAGTGAGGATCTTGAACCTCAGTCTGTTGGAGAATGTCGACAAAGACGTGATTGGCCAAAATGGCAAGAAACAATCCAATCAGAGTTGAACTCACTTGCGAAACGTGAAGTTTTTGGGCCTGTAGTCCAAACACCTAATAGTGTTAAGCCTGTTGGCTATAAATGGGTCTTTGTACGCAAGAGAAATGAGAAAAACGAGGTACAAAGATATAAGGCACGCCTTGTTGCACAAGGATTTTCACAAAGGCCTGGTGTCGATTATGAAGAGACATATTCACCCGTTATGGATGCTATAACGTTCCGTTATCTCATTAGTTTTGCTGTCCATGAAATGCTTGACATGCATTTAATGGATGTGGTTACCGCCTACCTTTATAGCTCACTTGATAATGAGATATACATGAAAATTCCCGATGGATTTAAAATGCCAAACGCACATAATTCAAAGTCCCAGGAAATGTTTTCAATCAAATTGCAAAGATCTTTGTATGGTCTAAAGCAATCAGGACGAATGTGGTATAATCGTCTTAGTGAGTATTTATTAAAGGAAGGCTATCTAAATGATACCATTTGCCCATGTGTTTTTATAAAGAAAACAACATCAGAATATGTTGTACTTGCCGTATATGTTGATGACATAAACCTAATTGGAACTCCTATAGAACTCCAAAAGGCAATTGATTATTTAAAGAAGGACTTCGAGATGAAAGATCTCAGAAAGACAAAATTAAGTCTTGGTTTGCAAATTGAACATTTGGCAAACGGAATATTTATTCATCAATCTACCTACATAGAAAAGGTATTGAAACGGTTTTACATGGATGGAGCACATCCATTAAGTACTCCGATGGTTGTTCGATCACTTGATGTGAATAAGGATCCATTCCGACCTCAAGAAAAGAATGAAGAGCTACTTGGTCCTGAAGTACCATATCTTAGTGCAATTGGTGCACTAATGTATCTTGCCAATACTACAAGGCCTGACATAACTTTTTCAGTTAATGTCTTAGCAAGATATAGCTCTGCTCCCACAAGGAGACATTGGAATGGAATCAAACACATATTGCGGTATCTAAAAGGGACTACCGATATGGGCTTATTTTATGGCAACAATTGCAGTCCCGATCTTGTTGGTTATGCTGATGTTGGGTAATTATCTGACCCACACAAGGCTCGGTCTCAAACAGGTTATGTATTTACCTGTGGAGGCACTGCCATATCTTGGCGATCGACTAAGCAATCAATTGTGGCTACTTCATCTAATCATGCTGAGATAATTGCTATTCATGAAGCAAGTCGAGAATGTGTGTGGTTGAGGTTTATAATACATCTTATTCGAGACAAATTTGGTGTGAAATGTGACAAACTACCCACAATTTTGTATGAAGATAATGCAGCATGCATAGCTCAATTGAAGGGAGGATTCATAAAAGGAGATAGGACAAAGCACATTTCACCAAAGTTATTTTTCACACATGATCTTCAAAAGAATGGTGATATTAATGTGCAACAGATTCGTTCAAGTGATAATATGGCTGATTTGTTCACAAAATCTCTACCAACGTCAACCTTCAAGAAGCTAGTGTACAAGATCGGGATGCGAAGGCTCAAGGATGTGAATTGATGTTCTCATCAGGGGGAGTTAATGCGCGTTGCACTCTTTTTCCCTTATAAGGTTTTGTCCCACTGAGTTTTCCTTGCAAGGTTTTTAACGAGGCAACCAATAGGCGCATTTCTAAACATGTGTACTCTTTTTCCTTTTCTAGAATTTTTTCCCATTTGGTTTTCTTTTAGTTAAGGTTTTAACGAGGCACATTATCTATTGAATAGACATTCAGGGGGAGTGTTATAAATAGAATTCTATTTATGGTGAATGTCCATATTTAGAGAGATTCTAGGGTTTATTACTTGGTGGCTAAGTCAACTTCTCCCTATAAATAGAGGGTTCTATTCCATTGTAATTCATCCCAAATCAATAAGAATTCTCTCTCTACTTTTCTCTGCAATATTGTTCTTATTCTTTTATTATTTTATAACAAACATAATGTATTAACTTATAATTTTTAACATTGAAGGTCTTCCCTGTTGATTCATGGAATTCTAGAGTTGAGGAAGAAGGAATTACTTTCTTGGTGGACTTAAACAAAAGAACACGTGATTGTTATCAGTTTCAATTTGATGAATTACCATGTATACATGCAATTGCAGCTATCGAGAAGAGAAACATCAAAAAGTCTAATTTCTGCTCGCACTGGTACTTAAAGGAATCTTGGCTGAAAACATATGAAAGACAAATACATCCCGTAGGACATACTGATTCTTGGATTGTACCAGAGAGTGTTAAGTCACAAATTATTAAACCTCCAGATTTCAAAGTGCCGCCAGGTAGAAGGCAGAAGAAAAGGTATATTCTAGCTACCGGTCATCAAAAATAACATTCAAATGTGATCGTTGCAGAAGAATTGGTCATAATAGAACATCTTGTATATATTCTCCGGTAGTCCATCCATTTTCAAGGAAGCATAGAGAATAATAGATATATCCACTTATGTTTGTCTACTCTTTTAAGTTTTTTCTATAAATTGGATTCATTTTGATTGTTTTTATTTGAGCAGATGTTTATATAAAAGATGTCCTGAATATTCAAAGTTTCTTTGCGCTTACGTTCTCTTTGTTTCCTTTTCTTTTTCTAGGCGTTCAATTTACCTTTGTCGGACCAATTATTGTTTATGGGGTAAGTAAACAAGAAAGTCCTTTTCTTTATAGAATTTGACGCCTGCAGCTTGATACATCTTTATTTTCAAAATCACATTGGTACAAGTAAAAGTTAAGGACACAGATTTCTAAAAGTCCTGAAAATTTGATTTATGAATCTAATAATAAGGACATAATTTCTAAATTGTCCTTAACTTCTGGAAATCTCGAATTATTGTCTAGCTTTTCAGAAGTTCAGGACATTTCAGAAAAATAGTCCTCAACGTACAGCTACAAGTTCAAAAGTTAAGTGTCACGACCCAAAAATCGACCCAGTCGTGATGGCGCCTATCGTGGAACTAAGCCAGCCACACATTTTCAATTTCTCTATTTTCCAACTGAAAAGCTTAAGAAAACATCATGTTTTAACAGAAATCCAATGATATAAAAATAGAAGCTCGAAAACCAGCGGAAAGAAAATACAAGCCCGACCTCGGGTGTCACTAGTCATGAGCAAAAATTACTACAACTGTTTGAATTAACAAGACTAGTACAGTCTGAAAATATCTAACATATAAACTAGAGGAAGATAGGGAGGGATAAGGCGGAACTGCGGTCGCCAAGCAGCTACCTCGCAATCTCCAAGTGAAAGTCCGCACAATATAATAAGCAGCCGCTACCGTGACCCGAGACACCTGGATCTGCACACAAGGTGCAGGGGGTAACGTGAGTACACCAACTCAGTAAGTAACAAGTCCAACCTATGGACTGACAGGTAGTGACAGACCAAAATCTCAACAGGTAATAACATATATCTGAACAGGAAAAGTAGACATGCTTACAGTTCAATTAAAGTTCAATAGTATTTAAATGCAACTGAACAGTACGAAGTTCAAAACTCAGAGATTTTACATATACCAATGCACAACTAGCATGATCAATGTTCCATGAACCTCCACTCACAAGTACTCAACCCCTCGGTACTGTATATGGCCATCCGACCCAGGAAAGATCCATCCCGGAATATACATCACTAACCGAAGTCATCCAGCCCGAGGACACAGGCCAATCCAGCCTCACAGAGAAGATCCATCTCTCGGTATAGTACTTCAGACAGATCCATATCCAAGGGGA